TGGAAACCATACTTTCATGGCATCCGCTCATGTTCTCATGTGCTAGGCCTTGAATCTTGGAGCAACACAATGGTAGATTTGGTTTCAACAAGACGGAGTGCCACTTTACTCCGACCACGTCAAATCAGATTTTCTCTTGCCGCAGTGACATAATATGACCAGTGCTCTCGCCTGATCCAATGCCATGTTATTTCATTCTATGGGTTATTATGAGAAAATTAATGTACACAAAACCATTTTAATTTTAAAAGAAGCAATTACACCAGAAATAATAAAGATATTGCCTGAATTAGCAACACTTGATATGAAGAACTTCCGAGATTGCCTAACCTTCTGTACCAAATAATAAACCCAAATAATGTACATCATTTGGAAGATGTTATTTTTTACAAATACTGTTGAATATAATGTTAGCAATTAGCAATACACAAACTTTTTGTTAATGTCGTCATTTATAGTTCTAGAAATGCATTCATTAGTTCTGCGAACCTTGTAAAAATATTAGCTGTTAACCCCTTCCCGTACCATTTAGCTCGACGAAACTTGGGCCTCCCAAGTGTTCACGCTTCACGCTGATGCTCGGATGTAAATACCTCAGATGTACATACTTTTTGACGACACTGTTGACCGGTATATATTTTAGATTTACAATTTGGTCATATTTATATTTGGTCCTACAAATATATTCACGAGCCTGGTTTTGTTGTATTTATTTTTGGGCCAAAATTTTTATGACTAGCTCATTAAAGGCTCATTAAAGCACGAGGTGTTAAAACAAACTTTCAACCTTTTGAGCAAATATAATCGAATTAAATAAATTTATTTAATACTTAATTTATATTTAATTTTTAATTAATAATTTAAACATAATGTAGTTGCTTTTATTAATCTATTTTGGCGACATGGGCTCGAGTGAAGATGATACCTGAAATATCTATTATACTTAGAAAATATTTACTAGTTCTTTTCAAGTTATAAATTGATAGTGCATGCTCCACGTTATATATGCTCGTAATTGGTATTTCAATTTGCAGTTTGATGTAGTTGATGAATTACACAATATCAATGTAACGAAAATTATCAATAACTCGCGATTAATTTTTCTAAGATAATTATTTTTTATTAATACATTAGATACGCATTGTTGGTTGAAAGTAGTCGAATACTTTTTTTTTGTATAGATAATCATTCATTTATTTAAGTTTTCGTATTCTAATAATATATAATTTTCATTTATACATTTTACTCTCTGTTCATTAACCTTTTTGTTTTTATAAATACTATGCATATTTTATATACACTTTCATAGAATTCTAAAAATATTTATTCAGAAAGAAATTATGAATATTTTTCTGTTTTTCTGGTTAGCAGATGAATAACGAAATTTCAATTTTCATTAACTCTACAAAATATTTTTGTAGGATCGTTTTAAAGTGCGAGTTAAATCTTTGCACCCGAGAAATTTGATAACGTCATTTTATAGAGAAACTTGCTTTGGATTTACACCTCCTGAATCGATCAAAGTTTGTGTTCAAACTTGTGAAAGCTACGAGGACAAAATTTTACGATGAACTTTTAACATTACGAAAAATTTATATCGGCATTCAGGTCGTTGAAAACTTTCGAGATTTTATGTTTTAAACATTGAAATTTATTATTGCTTTGTTTTAATTATGTTTATAAACTTTAATTATTTATTTCCAGTCTCTTCGCTCCTCATAATTAGCTTCTGATTCTTTATTTTTTTAAAAAGAAACGGCAAAACGAAAAAAAACTTAAATAATATTTATATATATATATATATATATATAAATATATATATATATATATATATATATATATATATATATATATATATATATATATATAGTGATGTGCCAAGTCGAATCAAGTGATTCGAATCATTCGAATCAAGCCTTTAACGACTTGATTCGAATCAGATTTTACTTGATTCGAATCAACTCGCATCAAGCCGCAAAAAATTTACTGTGATAAAATATGTATTAACACAAATTTTTCATAAATATAAAATTTTTCATAAATAAAAATATAAAAAAATGTTTTAATTTAATTCAATATTATAATAATATAAAAAATAAATATCATAAATATAAAAAATAAATAATGAATTAAATCATGCGAGCCACCCGACTTTAATATGCTTAAATGTATCAGCCAACTCCAATCGTCTTTGTGTGACTTTAACCGCATTCATCGACTAACTATATCATCCGACTTCATATGACTCAAACCGAATCAAGCGGCGATATGAGTTATTCCGACTTCATGACTCAAACCGAATCAAGCGGCGATATGAGTTGTTCCGACTTCATATGAGCCAACTCGAATCAAGCGGCGTTATGGGTTGTTCCGACTTCATGAGCCAAACCGAATCAAGCGGCGTTACGAGTTATTCCGACTTCAATTCTGATTCGAATCATCCCGACTTCAAGCCGTTCGAGCGATATGAGTTAACCGTATGGGCGATACAATGCGTCGTCGTTCTTGCGTGTTTATTTATGTTACGGAGCGCTGAGAGCGATTTTATTCGTGAAATATCAATACCCAATTTTGATAATAATTAAGTGTTTTAGTTTTTAAATGTTATCAGAATAAACCACTCGAAATTATTTCAATATAATTCTCTTTTGAAACAATTACTAAACACCAGAAAGTCAGTAAATAATATGTTAACTTCTGATTATGTAAGTAATGGCAAATTCACATTAATGAAATTAACTTTCAGCTCTCAGTTTAGATGCGATCCTTTACTGATTACATAGTCAAATAAACAATCGACCCATGATTCCAAATATTATTTTATATGCTTTAGTGATGCACAATTGTTTGGTAATCTATTATTGTAAATTAATTTGAAGATGAGTTTTAGCCGTCCTCAAAATTACATCATTTTTAATAATTTTCAGAATATACTTTTTGATAGTGATTTATGTTTACAATTTCTACTTTGTCGGTTATATTGGTTAAACTGACAATTTTGATTATAAATTTGGATCACTTTTACTAAATTAATACATCCATGATTTTTTTTTGTCCATATATATACTTGATTCGAGTTGATTCGAATCATGATTCGAATCAGGTTTTTTTCTGATTCGAATCATTCGAATCGGGAATTTTTCGAGTCGGCACATCACTAATATATATATATTGCAATACGTATGTGTGTACGTGAAAATGTATTAAAAATTGATACTATAATAGCAACTTCTCTATAATATAAATTGTAGTCTTGTTTATCCCGGTTTATGCTTTATATGATGGTAATTGTATTTGAATAATTATTTAGATTTATAGAATGTTGGTATTTTAAATTATTGATGTGTTTACGCAGTATACTGATCACGTTCAAACACAAATTAAACTGAACATTATGTTTTCGTCTGTGTACGTATCAACATGAATCTGTAGGAAGCTGCCATTCGAATGTGATTTAATTAGAAATAAATGTTATGCTATTGCTATTTTCGAAATTTCGGATTGAACGTTATCGCTTCAGTACATGCTTAATTTGATGTACCTTACAGCTGTTGAATTACGCGCCGTGCAGTATATGCGAAGTCTATTTCGGATTCATATGGAATAGAACATGATTCATATTAGTTTTATTTCTACGTTTCAATAAAGTATTAACTTACTTTTATAAGTAATTCAGATCAATTTTTCATAACACAATTCGCAAATTATGCCATTTATATTATTGACTTTTAACGTCAATCATTTCACGCTACGTCACTTTTTTGCAATTCATACTTTGTCATGTATTATTCAAGACAATTAGCATTACTATTTACATGATATTCACTACATCTTCGGAGAAATGAGCGTAATTGGTGAATCATTTATTCTAGCTATAAATATATTAAAATTTAGCAAATAATTTTATATAAGTATGAATTGAATCAAATAACTTACAAGATATTGTGTTTTGATTGCTGTTAAAAATAAAAATAAATTAGTGTTGCATGTCATCGTACCAGGAATTTTGAATGTTTTCAAGTAGGTTATTATAAATACTATAATTTTCATTATTCGTATTTCATAAACGAAATATAAGAAGACCTTATGAATTGGACGACTACGTTTATATATGTTCACACGAAAAACAAAAAAAAAACAAACTGAATCAAGCGGAGTTAGAATGAAGGACTTCATCTCATATTTCTGAGAATTATTTAAACTAAATTGCAAAGTTAAAGTTATTTATTTAAAGTTTATAAGTGAGTTTGAGATTTTTAGCTAGAAATAAAATTAAAATCATGTTTAATATTTAATAAAAAAAATTTAAATTAAAAAACGTTTTCTGGCCCCGCTGAAACTGCCTTTGCAAGACACTAAGTAGCACATTTTCTCGTCAATACGAATTGAATGTTTTTTGAATCATTCAAATCGATGCTCCCAAAAATGAGGACGAAATATTGTATTTATACATATACACATACATACACATCTACACAATAATTTTTTGTAATGTATGCCAGTATGTTCAAAAGCCTAAAGTAAAGAAATTTAAAGATATATATAAAACTATTCATTTTCGATTTTTGGACCATTACTATGACTTACGATACGGGAAGTTAATAAATAAATATTTTCTGACAGTCTTTATTTAGTATTAGGCACTCACTAAGCTGATTAAATATGGATGTTTGTATGTGTCTAAATAAGTATGTGAACTTCGACTTAATAAATTATTTTGCCAAGGTGAATATATGGTATATTATTAGCCGCTTGTCAACACTTGATATTTTTATATGGTGCAATGAAAAATTTTTAAGTTTGATTCTTTCTTCAAACCCATTTAATCCCAGCGTAGCGCATTTCGTGTCGATTAAATGTACAATGTACAAAGCTCCGCGCGTAGGTATTAGTGCTTTGATGAGCGGCTACGAATGCGTAGAACCGCGTGCAGCGTAGACCGCACCGAATAAGTGTTATCGCATGAGTAACAATATGAACCAACTCTTTCCTTGTTTCAGAACACACGTGCCTTCAGTCGTGCGCGCCAGATGTCCTCGTAGCAGCCGGCGTCAGCAGCGCTCCACCGCCGATTGTGAAAGGGCAACCCCGCTTGGATCGCTTGGATCGAACCGACGGCGCAAGCGTGCTTCCGTTGGGCGCATAGCGTCTGTCAGTCGGCGCGAAGGGTAAAGCCGATCTTCCGATTCTGCGCGCATCGCAGTCGGCGCACCGTCCCGGGTCAGCTGCGCTTCAGAGCCTCGTCCGTCCGCAGTTCAGTAGTCCGCGTACACTCTCTCAGTACCGTGAACCCTCCCCTCTTCGTTATAACAACCGTACAAAACCGTTTTTACCGTGCAATTTCGGTTGTGCCAATTCGGTTCGGCGTGAGAGCACATCGTATCGTCGTTGGACATCAGGATGGCGGACAAGAAAGTGGCCGAACAGTACTACAGCCCGCCACCGAAACTTGGCAAATGGGAGGGTTTCCGTCAATTCCTGTGGAACTCTGAGACCAGCCAGTTCTTGGGACGCACCGGCTCCAGTTGGGGTGAGTAGCGACTTCTTGAAGTTCATCAGTTAGAACATCTTCAGCGTTTTGAAATTTTCGCGGTTTGTGTCAAAACGGTTCTTTGTTGTTACGTCATCGTGCGGGGAAACTTATCGCCCCCTCATACCGCGTGCTGGTGTGATGGTTATATTGAAGGGATGGTCGGCCATTTTTAGTGTACCGCGACAATGCGCATGTTCCATGCTGTGGCCTCGATGGCACGATGGATGAAGACCAACCCGTAAATCGGTCGATCATGATCTAGTGATCTATAATTCTTCATCTACAATCTCTTATGGATCATTCTCATTGCAACCTTACTCGGCGTGATTTTTTAAAACTACAATATTGACAGACCAAAAAATTTTTCCTCCTCATGATTTTTTTCATTATTTTTATCAAAATTTTATTTTAATGTATCAATTCATTTTAAATTCTTTCTGAGAGTCAACCACATGAAATTTGAATATTTTCACTATTTATCCCTATCAACAACGACATTTATTGTATACAAGAGTGCAATACAACATTTGTGCGGCAAATTGAATAGTTCAATCATAAATCAATCTGTTCTAATGCAAAGTCAATTAGGGTGACCGTTTAATTTATGAAATTCTATCTGTCTGTGAAATAGTGTATTGATTATGCGAGTCGAGTAGGAAACACGCAGCGTTTGTCCCACGTTACGTAACTCTTGAGAGTTCAAACATGTGTTGTACGCTCCTTCTGTAGAAAAATCTAGATTCGGATGCGTACAATATGTCATCGTTTCAATTATGACTTGTTAGCGCTTCGCGTATTTCTCGCCATTGTGTTTGTCGATTATTTTGTTAGTAACAAAACAAATAATGATTTATTACCTCCGGCATTGTTTGGGTGTACAGTTTCAATTTAGGCTTTGGCTTTTTCCATATAAATTATTCGCATTGCGTTGAGCTTTTTTCTTGGTAGGTCCCATTGATCCTAATAATTTAATACATTATGAAATAGCAAGCGTTTGAATCGATTTTGTTTCGTACCGCTGTTGATGCTAAAACATTCGAGAACAAAATTCAAGTACATTATTTTATCTTATAAAACTATTTGATTTGAATTTAATTAATTCATTTATCAGCACAGCAATTACTTATCACAGTGTTCAGCAATCATCCTTACTCACCATCTTTTTTAAATTCAATATTTATTTTGATATTTCTTCAGAAACTTGGATTATGCAGAAAATAAATAATGCTCGACAATTTTGCTTTCATACAATTATAAATTTTTTTCTTCGTAATTGTTGTTCTATTAGACAAACATATCGGTTTATTTAATGTTATTGCTTGATAAACATTAATTATCGTGGTAAAAACGTCGATAGATTTGCAAATAAAAAACTTACTTTCTTAGAAAACGTCTGGGAATTGTCTTTCGTAGAATTTGACAACTATAATAATGTTTGCATAGTTACTAGTGTTTGTTGTACAATTTATTTATATCTAATTAGCATGGTTAACTCGTTTAAGGTTTCCCATTTTTTGTCACATGAGTATGATTGGCATTCATATTACTAATCAAGAAAGCTATTTTACATTTATAATTTTGTTTGAGTATATCGATAATCGACATTGAATAATTAGAAATTAATATGTATTAATATATTGCAGCAATGATTAACAATATTTTATACGATTACTCTTACTCAAATACCAGTATTGTATTATCTTATTGATAATTCTGATATCTCAGAGAATTTTGAAACTAAATTCAACATTGAGAAATATTTTGCAATTAGTATTTCAAGAAGTTATTTCAAAACGCCAAAACACTCAAGTTTCTTCGCTTTATTCTTTTTTACTTAAGTAGTTTATATAGATAACCAGTTCATAATCGGTTATCTAGTAAATTAATTTTAACCTTCGTACTTCAAGTGATTTCATAGTTCAATTGTAGTTATCTAGAACTGCTATTAATTGAAGGGTTGTCGAATCGTAGTATTACATTGTCATTATAATAATTATTGAATTGCTAAAATTATTTAAAGTAGTTAATAATAATTATTTAATTGCTAAAATTATTTTTTACATTTGCTAGTGATACCAATTTTCAAGAATTCATTTAGATTATGGCCATAAAATGAAGTTTATTGTCGGATTTCTTTGATCTTTGCTGTTTCATTAGTTATTCGTTTTGAAAACTTGCCCCAAATATGTAACTTCATAGATTTAGGTCCTTGTTTTGGATACTCACAAATGAGAATTTGAAGAAGGCTAACTTCATGTTCGCTACTTCTGTATCATAATGGATCATAAATCTCAAGATCAATAAACGCATTCAAAACTATTCGATTATATAATGCAAGGAATCTTCTGAAATGCATATCTGATTACATCCACATAGAACTAGATATATTCAACTTTTTATCATAGTTTTTTAAGTTGACTCCTTATGTCACATACATAAATCTTATAGAATGCACTTTGTAAATTTGCTTTGTATTTGTAGCTTTATACGCAGTATAATTATCGACATGTTTTGATCAGCGCTATATAGTTGTATATAAAAATGAATTCAAGGTAGCGAAGTAACCTGATTTATTAATTATCAATCAAATGCACTTGTTCTTTATGGAAAGTCTCGACCAATAATAAGTGCGAGAGTCGAGTATATAGATAAGTGAAAAATGTTACTTAAGATAATCGCAAATATTTGAAATTGGTGAAAACTATGAAATTGATTTTTCAATATTAGAAATATTAATATTCTCAATATAATTTCGACTATTATTACTATTTTTGATTTGCTTACATTCAATTTAGTCATCTGTAAAAGTAATTTTCACTCATGTTAATACTGTTGGTTAAAATTTGAATACCAAGTTTAATCTTCAACAGAGAAAAATATTATAACTTCATTACAAATAAGATCATTGTTTTTTTTGTTACTAAAATGGTTAATCGTATTGCTGTAATAAAATATTTAATAATTAGAGAAATAGTATAGAGATTAGTAATGTAGTGATCAGTAGTATAGAGCAAATGTAGTTTATTGGCTATTAAATTAACAGTAACATTTTCAATGAGCTCATAAATTGTGCAAAAAAGTGTTCAAATTGAGTTTGAACACGTGAAAAATATGTATTTTTTTACTTTATGCAAAATTGTTGATATAATATATCGCATACTGTATGCAGTATTATATACGTTGCCAGTATAATATGCAGTTGTACTTAGGCATTTTTAAATATTATATAATAAAAATAAAAAATAATGGGTAGTACTACGCTAGGTCTGTGAGCTGAATTAAACACCAAATCGATTAGGGGAAAAATAGTGTGAAAGATTTCCCATTGCCATTACACACCGCAGTACCCAAAAATTGGCTATTTTCAATTTCAAACATATTTTTTATTCATATTTTGAAGTAAAAACGACCATCGCTACTGCACGATGTCAGGTTTTCCAGAGCGGGATTCAAATACACAAACTTGTTTACACGAGTCCTTGAGTTTAACAATTACACCATGGAATACCCGAATATTATATATGATTACTGAAATGTAATTTTATGAACAAAACTAAATACAAATAAGAATGGAGAGTAATGAAATAAAAAATATGTATTAGGAAGTATATAAAAGTAGATCTAATAGTATATTTCAAATATTTTTGTCTTTGTCAAAATATTATTGATATATCGATACACCTAAATTAACTAAATTAAATTTTTGTGAAAAAATACAATTTACTGCAATTTATGCAAATATATGTAAATATATTCTGATTTTGAGTATGTGTATATATTACACAATTCTTGTTACTTTTTATTGTCTAATAAAGCTCGGGGGGTTGTAGGTGATGGGTTGACCTGACTATTCAATTTAAAAATTTTGGCACATATAATTTAAATAATAATTTATAATATCTCAAACAACACCAATAGTGTCAGTTACATACAAATTTCTGTGTTAATATTTATTATATAAATAATCAATATTTACTTCACCTTTCTATGAAAAATTTCCAACTCTATCTTCAAAGTTTGTCTAGATTTGCCCCAATTAGTGTGAACCATGTCCTTCCTTCCGATCGTGTGTTTATTAACACCGTTGTGAAACGAGAGTTCGCGTTCGCAAATTACCCTATCGTTAATTACTCGATATTCTGTCACCAAAACGTTAATTAAATCCTAAAGACTAGTTTAGTGCGTTCGTTTGTTTTGTAACAGCAGATGCTGAAAGCATATTTTATCGGTAGGTCGATAATTACAATCGCCTTCGAATCTTTTTAGTACTTTTGACTGACGATACGGATTATCATAGGATGTTATAAATGAACTTTATAATGCAAAATGTACTTTGATAACATATTATGAATGTTATTAGATCAATTTATAATTTAAAATATATTTACAATTATAATATAGAGAGGTATTTGGATTTCAACTAGGTTTCTTGACTCATGTTTTTGACAATTTGCAATTTATTTTAGAAAAATGATCTTTAACAAGGCATTTATTATCTTTAATTTTACAACCATATTTAATTTATGTGAATATTGTCATTTTAACTTCCAGTAGGTTAAGTTATAGTTATCGCAAAAAATTGTAAATGACTTTGTTTATACATATATATTTACGTGTTAAAGGATTCTGGACATTTTGGCATACTTTAGAAAAAAAGATGTATGTTTCTGTGTATAAGGATATAAATTATAGTAGACAATGTCGGGAACACAAATCAACCAATTTGAATAATTTTAAAAACATTCTATTTCTATTGATAGGGAGACGTGCTGATAAGTTTTTGGCAAAGGCCGTTCAATCAAGTAAAAAAATGCCACATCAAATTATCAAATATTTTGGACAGACTTTAATAATAAGTATGCACTTTGATGTTTTGTCGCTAAAACAGCTACGCAGCGCGATTGCTATCAAAAAAGGTCAAAATTTTCCACAAATTTTAAAATATTGAAAAAAAACTGAAAATTTAAAAAAAGTAAATTTTTTAAAAAAAATCCAAA